GATGCAGGACGCACATCCGGCCTAAAACAGCGCAGAGATACAAACTCGTGCTGGCCTCTGTGCTGTGGTCCTGTTGTGTCTTCTATGGTACATGCAGAATGCCGAAGCTGAAGAAAAAAGGGGAGCCGAGCACAGGTCCGTCCTCCCCTTTTATACGGACCTAGGTGGGGCCCACGTGACGTGGGCGTAGACTATTGGCTCTTCAGAATGCGCGAGCGCGCGCGGGGGTACCCATCTGCGATAGCCTTAGAGGGCGGAGCTTACACGAAATAGAACTGCCGTATGAAAAATGCCCATATTTTGTGCAGTTTACGGCTGCTCCAATAGTTCTGAGAAAAGGGTTATTATTGAGTATCAAAGATGAAACACGTAAAAAGCTCACAGAATAACGCTGTAAAAATAGGATTTTAAACCTACGTCTGCCATGGGGAGGAGCAGAGTCTGGTATGTTAGCTTGCCAACTTGTTTTTGTGGCTGTGTTTATAAAGCATTCGGCTGTCATGAAATGCTCATTCACTTAGTAGTGATTATTAAGTTACCGGTAGTCTAATACAGTGACACTTAACCTATGGGCCGTGAGCAACACCTTGAGGGCCTCGAAAGAACAACAGTTTTTAACTTTGGGCCGCAGAGGGCCGCGGGACCGCACTGATTTTGAATAAGGTGCAATACACTTTCTCCCCACTAGTAGCGGTAGTGCGCCACTCAGATGTTTAATAACTTTTTTAATAAGTAGAAGAAGAACCTTAGAAACCAGCTAAGAATGGAAAACATCTATTTTAAATGAAAAGTAGAAGTAAAAATGAAGGCAATCCATCAGCAAAAGCCAGTTTGTCACTAATATAATATGAAGAGCAACTTCTGGTTCTATCATGCAATATTTTAAAAGTTCAAAACATTATCAAACACATTTGCAGATACAGCTATATTTTAATTTGCACTTTATCAAATTAATTTTTGTAGTTTATTTTTAAACATTTTGAATGTATTTTAAAGAAACTTTAAACTTGTCAAAAAGCTGTTGTTACTGTTATTCTAGTCATTAATTTGAAGCAGCTTCTGGTTCAACCATGCAAAAGTTTAAAAAGGCTATACTTTCATTTGCACTTTATCAAATTAATTTTTACGTTTTTTTTATTTGAAACATTTACATTAAACATTTTGAAAGTATTTATTTTATGACCACAATTTTATTTACTGACTTGTCTATTTTTTGTTATTTTTTATGTAAAAAAAATTTTTATTTTTGTGTTTTACATTTAAACTGTTATTACATTCAATTTAGTTATAATGTAAATACAATACAAATTAATCCAAGATTTAAAATAACTATCATTTTGATCCATACATTGGTAATGTGTGACTGGGCCTCGTGCCTCTTTATGTTCAACAAATTGGTCCCCGGGGTCAAAAAGGTTAAGAACCCCTGGTCTAATATGAACTTAATCTGAGCTTCTTAGGCTGCCCTAGCGTTATGTGTTGCATGTTTGTTGATGGTAGCAGCTACTGCTAGCATCTCGACTAATGAAACCATCCTTAGGGTTTTGTTAAAACTCATCAATATTCATGAGATATGGGTCACGTCCAACATATTTGTTAGTTAGTCCATTTTGTAATACAAGTTCTAGCAGAGAATAACTCTTCTTGGCCACAGGTCAACACTGAGGTTGCTATGAAAACGTCATTGGAATTGTGCAACTTCAACAAGATCAAAAAGCAGATTTATAGCTTAGATAATCATGTAGGGGTATGATGGGGCAGCTGTGGCTGAGTGGTTAAGACAGTCATCTTCCAATGAGAGAGTTGGCGATTAAATTCCACCACTGTTCAGTCACAGGAACACCCACTGCCTCAGATGTCTGTCTCTTCAGTGTAAAGCTGCGTTCACACCAAACACGATTTCAGTGTCAAAATCGCGTCCAACGCTTCAAGTTGGACGCTTGTGCACTTTGAGGTCACACGTGAGCCAAGAGCCTTTTTCCCCTCCTCTGTTTAACGTAGGGACGTCCCGATCCAGATTTTTTTGCTCCCGATACAATCCAATTTTTTTAATGATTAATCTTTCTGATACTGATCCGATAGCTTTATTTCTTTATTTTTTTCCAAGTGACAAGGTTGGTTGTATTAAAGTGAGCCCTGCTGTTCCCACCATGAGAAACATCCAGTTTGCAGATTTTGCAACATGCAGTTTCAGCATTATTGTTTTCCATTGAAAAGTGTTCCCACACTGTGGACATGGTTACATACTTGTGTGCGTCTTGACTTCTTAACGGCAGTTGTAAAGCATGATGATGCTGAAAACTGTCGCGAAAACTGGATCGGCCCGATCACATGACTAAATCTGATTCTACCCGATTTTCAAAAAAATTGCCATATCTGCCGCAGATACTGAGGATCTGATCAGGACATCTCTAATTTAATGGCTGATGAAAAAAAGTGTCTTTGCTTTATTTACTGGGAGCAAGAGAACGTTGCGCTCACCAGATAATTAATTCATAATTAATTCACCAGATAATTCAGAGATGTTCTGAGTTTGATGAGTTTCACCACACAGGAGCTGCGAGCTGACGAGCCTTTCAGAACTATTTTTGTCCCGAGTCCAGTTTGATGAGCCGATTTCTCCTGGCAGGACACCGACTGCAGCCACTTGATTTCAGCTGAAGGGCTCTGTCCATCTGTCTCAGGTTAGTGGACATCATTCAGGAAACTGTCCCGTCTGAAAATGTGTCACTGTGTCACACAGTAGAGTCTCTCTGGTTGGTTGACCTGCCATGTCGAGCTGCAAAAGTTCACATTTTCTAACTCGCTGGACGCACCGCAGCATTTCCCGACGCTGCTTGACGCGCGTCCACCATGTAAACCTGACGCTGAAACGGCATTCGATGTGAACACAACATAAGAATAAGATTTAAGCATTGATTAGCCTCCATAGATTGATCTATACTATCTGGTTTAGCTTTGCAGCGAGACACAGTTCTGTGTGAAAGGCTAAATGAGAGCACAGATTTTAGTGCAAAGTGCTTTAAGTATCCTGGATGATAGAAAGGTGAATTATAAGAACAGTCCATTTACAACCGATGAACAAACTCAACTATGATCCCAAAGAAAAGTTATTCTGTACAACAACATAAATGTACTGGTTGAAATCATTTCAATAGTGTTTCCAAAGCAATCTCAACATTTTCCAGATAAAAGTGTGAGCTCAGCCTGTTTATGTATGCATATTTGTAACATTTTTTTTAACTATGAATGGTCTATTGTTGGTACCTGGATCTAAATGTGTACAATACTCTTTACAACATTTGACTTCCTGCCCTCCATCTGAAATCACACGGCATCAAAACCCCGTGACTGAAACCCACATCTTTACTTATTTTAGCTTTAGCACCTGTTCTACTTTTAGCTTCTAACTATTTCTGCTACTTGTAGAGGTTCTGCTCAGTTCAGTTTCAGCTCAGCATTCATGCAGCCTTTTCACAGAAAATTAAAAATTCTCTAGTATCAGTGGTGTTTCTGTTCTTTCTCACCTTCAGCGATGGCCCCCAGCACCAGGATGCCAGATTCTTTGATGACCCAGTCCGGATGGAACAGCAGGCCTTTGAGCAGGGGAAGCAGGTGGGGAAGCAACTCTTCACGGAACACGTTGGCAAGAACATCCAGAGCTGCAGCAGAACATTTACCTGGAAGAGGGAGAGCAATCACATGAGAATGAGGTTATTGTGAAGAAAAAAAAACAATCACCTCTTTTAAGCATCACATTCTAAGCTGACTGTAATTTCTACATTTTGTAAAACTGATGTATAAATTCTGATTTCTTTCTTTAATGAGTTTCCTTTCTTAATTTATTGACATTTTCTCCAGAACAGTAGCATGTTACTGATCTCTTTTTGTCACTGATAATCTACAAAATACATTTTTCAGGTTGCTGAACAGAGGTTTTACTAAGTGCAATCTAAATATGAGAAATAAACAGAATAAAAAAGTAAATAAATCTCCCTTTGGAGCCATATTCTAACTCCTAAACACTTTTCTGAACAACTCAAAATACTGAAAAAATTGTTTCAGGTCTGAAGTTTTAAATTTGCATTCATAAATTTCATAAGGCCCTGTCCCACTAGCCAACTTTTGAACATTTTAAAGACATCTACATTGAAGACGGAATTGTAAAAATCAACAAGAAGCTTCTTTTTGGCGAGTACATAATGTAATTCAAACAAATTGATCAAATACATAAGTTTTATTAGCAATTTAGACGTAAAAAATGTTTCATAAGTTGTCTAGTATGACAGGGCCTTTAGATTCTACATTTTATTGGTAAAGTGCAGTGGTGGGCAGCGCTAATCCAAAAATTAGCTCCGCAATTTCTAAAGCGCTTATGTAAATATTTAGGTCCGCAACTTCAAAAGCGCTTATGTCATATGAAAACTAGAAGAAGCAAATTTTAAAGCACAAGTTCAATTTGACACTAACTAGCTGGCAACAATTCATGTACAATATATGCACAACACTGCCAACTAGTGGTGTATAAACCTTTGTACAGCTTAATCCTACAACTGCCGATTGCTGGGGATGTGATTTCCTGAAACAGACCTTTAGCTCCTGGGGTAAAAATTAAAAAGTTGTTGAGGATTGCTAGTTCGGCTGCTTCTTTGTCTTTTTCTTTTGTTTGTWGTAGATTTTTCATTAAAGAAGCATCAATAAAGTAATTTTAAAACTGTTTATTGGAAAACTGAAGCGATGCATTCTGGGTACATGACGGATTTGATTTGTGACGGGAAACGAAAGCACAGAGTACTGGAAACTATCTTCCCTTCAAAATAAGAGCTTGGATTTTAAGGTTTTCCATGTAGTTGCTCCAGCTGACCACTAGATGTCAGTCTAACCCCGTTGGCCGATTGCTTCGACCAATTACGTCAAGTATTGAGCTCCAGCGTTTAAACTTTTTTTTTAAAAAAAGGAGCTCCAATTGTAAAGTAAAATAAATCAATACATACAAAATTTTAGTATGGATTACAAACGTTAACTGTTTTTGCTAATGCCTTCCTGCTACGTAAGCCGACACAAAGCATTGTGGGAAATGAGAACCGTGACCCAAAGCAACAGTCAGCAAGGATGTATACATTCACAATAAGTGTGTTTATCTGGGAGGGGTGCTGTTGGACGTGTGTTGTGATTCATTGACAGCCATACCTTCTGCTGTTCAAGATCATAATGACTGGTAGATAATTAGTTATTAGCGATACTGCGTTTTAATTTTAGAAAGTGCAAATCCGTTTATGAATTATAAAAATTAGTAAGACTGCTAAAGTGCAAACGAAATATTTAGGTCCGCAATTAGCAGATTTGTGCTTTAGCGGGCTGGTGCCCACCACTAGTAAAGTGTAATTTCTCAATGTTAACTTTTGTGAGCCCCTGCCAATTATTTATCAAGTAAAATTCACAAACTTAAAAAAGTAAAATAGTGAAAAACCACAAGCCTTCACTGTTCCTAATAATTTAACTTTAACTGCTGGATAGTAACTTACGAAGATTCCAGTCAGACAAAGTATCATCGTCGTCGTCCTCGTCCTCATCAATGTCCTCCCCCTCCTCCCCGTCCCCTCCTTCATGCTGCAGAGTCACCGTGCGAGACTTGTGGAAGCGAGGCTTGATGTCCTGCTCGCTGTCTGGGATCGTCTCGTCCTCTTCAACATCTCCCTGGGCAGGCGTGAAGGTCACGTGTAATAAAACCACCAAAAGCTTAGATAACTTTTGTGATTTTGATTTGATTTATTGAGCTTCTGCATACCTTTAGAAGAATAATGTCTATCTCAGAGTATTTCATCCCATTCACCAGGATAGGAATCAGTCTAAGGAAAGAAAAGTCAGGTCAGATCGTCTGGTCATCATGTCCAGCATGCTGTTGGCATGAGAACACTTACTGCACCAAGTGGCCAGAAAGAGCCTCTTTACAGATGGGCTGTTCAGCCAGAGTCAGCCAGAACTCACAGGCTTCCAGAGCCACGTTTTCATCTGGGTCCTGAGTTCTCTGCAGCATGTACTGCAAACAACAAGACATTTACAGGCGACGGTGAGGAGAAGGCCCAGATTTATGACGACAGGTGGAACTGCAGCTTCACCTGAATGATGCTGTGCATGTGTGGGATGAGGCGGTCGATGCGGACTTCCAGCAGCATCACCAGAGCCCTGCAAACGTTCTTTCGAACTTCGCTGTCTTCATCGCCAGCCAGGGCAAACAGACTCTGCAAATTCAAAAAGAGTAAAATACAAAAAGAGTCAGAAGCAAAAAGTCACGAAGGAGCAGCCAACCTGCAGGAAACCGGAGTAGAAAAATATTATTACAGTTCAAATATGTGATTTAACTTGTTGTGTTTTGCCTCACTAAAAAATAATAATTGCAGCAACTCTGTAGTTTGATGCAAAGTCCAATTTAAGTAAAACAGTAACAAAAACTATCCAGAGAAGTGAGTAACCCTTGGCTGCAGACCGCGGCATGGGGCAGGGTCGGATAACAGGCTGGGTCGAACGTCTGACCCCGCCCCAAACTCTAAAATTAACCAACCCCAGATGCTAAATACTAAAATTAACCACGCCCAAATTTTTAAGCCTCCTATTAAACTTCCCTACAAGCCATGACCACAACCACTGGACGTCTGACCCCGTCAAGTGTCCTAATCCGCAGTCTGCAGCCGGAGGTACTTGCGAGAAGTTGCCATTACTTTGGATTTTATTTTAAAGAGACAGAAGTGGTGGTCTAAAGGTGTATTCACACCATGAAAGTCCTTTGGTCCGCTTGTTTGGTCCAGACCAAAAGTGGACTTTATTTATTTTTTGTTTGGAGCAGTTTGCATTCACATTGTGCTTTTCTGCAAATGAACTATAACTTGTAAACAAAGCCATGTGAGTGACGATCATTGCTCCCACTGGACAGAAAGGACGGGGGCGGGACTGAGCCACAGATCCAGAAAAACACAGTCCTGCTTCTTCGGTTCTGATGTGCATATTTGTGCTGATAGTACAACTGCAATAGCATTTAAAATGTCAGAAGCAGCTAATTTAATGGTGGTTCCACAACCCAAAGGACACGAGGTGCTCTGCGTGTTCTGACCCACTACATGCTGGCAGCAGAGCTGATAAACAGGAGACGACGAATCAGGTATGATTTCAGTTTATTTAGCTCAGCAACGGTGGCCCGTGAAGTCCAAAAATGCGCATGTTTTATGTTGTTGATTTGGTTCGAGTCCAGTCTGTATTCGCAAGTGAACCGCACCAGAGTTTGTTTGGAAGCGGACCGAGACCACCTCAAAAAGCAGGTCTCAGTCCGGTTGTTTGATCCGCATCAGAGTTCACGAGTGTGTTCACACCTGCACAAAAGGTCCGGACCAACGCTGGAAACGAACTCTGGTCTGTTTTGTTAGATTCAGATTTTTCTGTCGATTTTTGAGCCATTTTTACAGTTGAAGCATCTGTAAATTCAACATAATTCACTGTGTTTGTACTGTGGAGATGATTAATTACTAGCCAGGCCCTTGCCTTCCTACTCAGTTCTGCTCAGTTCTAGTTTCCTTCACCGCTCCGTCTGGGATTCTCCCATAGACAACGATTTCTTCAGGAGAATTTTACCTGGGCCAATCAGAGAACAGAAGGCGGAGTTTTGAACGACGTTGATGTTCTGCGCAGTGTCTGCTAGTTATTTTAGCATACGGCTGTGGAGGAAGTGAATGAAGCCAGTCTGTGTTGATAAGRCTTCCAAATTAAATTAAATTTGTCTGACAAAGCAGCAGCTCTCATTTACAGTTGTCTTGTTCGGCTCGGTATATTTCTCCTCTCAGTAGGGTTGCTTAAGCACACAAAATTTCTGGTTAGCTTCTTAGCTTAGCCTCCTTCACAGTGGAGCTGGCACACATACGTCACGGCCAACCGATCCAATCATTTTAAACTTCAACAGAGGCCACGCCTCCAGCAAGAATCTCTTCTCTATAGCCGAGAGTCCAGACCCTCGTATGAAGCAAAGTGAAGGACAGGGTCTGGTTTTTACCAGGCTAATTAATTAGCTGTAGGTATGGATTATACAGACTTCATGGGGGTGAACAAAGGTTTTATTTTTTACTTTTCTTTTGGCTTTACTGTGCATTTTAAGAGAACAGCAACAACATATGACTGAAAGATAATTTATCTTCTTAAATGTTAAGGTTTGTTTCAAAACATGAGAAATTGCTTTCAAGGCTTTTATTTATTTATTTATTTATTTATTTATTTATTCATTTTTTGTTGATCTATACAAATTTTGGGGGGATAGAAAATCATAAAAAATGCTATTACCCTAAAATAAAAACAAGTTTTTCTTTTAAATTAAACAATCTTTGATGAGCCCGTCACTGATGATATTACACAAGGTCCAGATGCCCTGGCGACACCCTCATCTCACAACAGAACTGCCTAGTTCACCCCATAATCTGATCATCTTTAATCCAGACTTGTGCAGCAAAAAACTACATCATAATTTCACCTCCCGCTGAGATTAATGTTTAATATTTTTCCATCTCACCTGCTTCCCTCTGCCAACTAATACATCGCAACAATTCTTAGTCCAACTGTGGTTGGTGCTGTTACACGTTGGATATGTGACTGCTGCTGGTGCACACACCCACCTGCAGAAATCCCTTCATGCTGAAGGGCATCTGAAGCAGGATTAATGACTCGACACATGGATTTCTTACCTTTTACATTTAAAACCGAGCAGAAGTAGACAAGATGCATTTCTCTACAATTGTTATAACACAAATTCAACAATGACCTCACGAACAGCAGTAGTTTTGGAAAAATACCTGGAAATTGTGTTTGGTCCCATTTGTGAAACGGCCATGGGAGGAAAAAAACCTCTTGTTTCGCTGTCATATTAGAAGCAACATGTATTAAGGGATGCCTTTCCACACTAATGAAATAGTTTTATTACCTTATGTAATTATTTAATCATGTATGTTGACATACTGTATGTGTCCTCTGGTGTCCCTCAGAGTTGGGCCTGTCTATAAGTCATAAACCAATTAATCAAACAATAAAAGAAATGAGGTTGATAATGTTTGTTTTCTTTGTGTCTCTCTCTGTTTTACTCCTTAGTGTAGGGAGGAGTGAACTCTGGTGTCAGGTATGTGACAGGCTCACAGTCTTTAACCTCTGTAGCATGAGATCCCTGTGAACAGGCGTTTAGCTGGAGGAGCAGCTTCAGTTTTCCAGCACCTTCTTTCAGCTGGCGACGCCCTCAGCGCACCGTACAGAACCTTGGGTGTGCCGAGAGTTGTTTCTTTACACTACGTCAGTATTGTAAACTTTGTGAGCAGCGTCTGGGTGACCGCAGTTATTTTATGAAGCCAGAGACAGACACAAAAAATAAACTGTGGATTAGGGGTGTAAGAAAATATCGATACACTGAAATATCGCGATATTTCATTTCCCGATACTGTATCAATATTCTAAAACCCTGTATCGATTTTTTTATTAAGGTTTAAAATGTC